CTGAGAGCATCTTTTCATGTGCTTATTAGCCATTTGTATAACTTCTTTAGAGAAATGTTCCTTCAGATCTTTCCCCCTCTTTTAAATTGAGTTATTTGTCTTTTTATTATTGAAAAGCTTGAATTTTTCATGACTATTCAACTGCACTTTAAAACTCAGCCCCAATAGGAATTTGTTGGGCTCCTCCAATTTTGTATCTCTCCCCAGGAAACAGATCACCATTCTGGGAGAATTCCAGCCCCTAAAGTTGTGGTTCTTAATCTATTTTTGTCTCACAGATATCTTTGAGAGTCTGGTGGGAACTATGGGAACCTGCATTTAGTATAAGGAAATTCCTGGACTTTCCACCATTCAAGCTTTGCCTTGACTAGGTTCCTTCTTTTCATAAGAGGAGTATAAACCTACTTCTGATTGTATTGTCAAATCATTTGGACGTGGCCTTAATGGGCAACATAAGTTTCCCAAATTCTAAGCTCCCACAGAGAGAAAGAGTGAACCGTGTTGTTAAAGTTACTAAAGTCGCACTGTGGAGAAATAGCTTTTATAGAAGATTGCTTTCAGAGATGATTGCAGTCCATCATTCCTCTAAATGTTCCCCTTTGATCAAGCCAGGCCATGAGAGCTTCACACCGTCATGCTGGGGACTTCTGAGAACCGGTTCCTCTGAACTGCACTTCAGCCTTACGCCAGCATTCCACACTGAAGCCCCCGGTAAGGAAGTTGTACCGATCCTCTTATTAGTCAGTTACAAAAATGCTATGTCCCGCTCCGACGGCTCATATACACACTGAGAAAGAGAGTGCTTCTCTTGAACCCATGGTGTTTTGATTTTGTAATAATTAATTAATAAACAATAATTTAATTATGTACTTAAGTAAGTAATAATGTTTTCTTCTCTACTCTGGCCCTTAAGAAGATCAGAGCAGCATTGCTGCCTGCCTCTGGCAACTGGACTGGACTAGCTGTTTGTGACCAGCATTTATAGCCCTCATCTGTCCTTTGGCCCAACCCCACTGTTAGTTCCTTTTTAAAGCATTTTTGTATACTATTTCAAGCTGTTTCTAGAACAAGTCAACACATTTCTTTTTCTAACCTTGCCATTCTGCACCTCATGTTGTGCACTTCATGAAACGCCATGCATGACATCTGTTTGCTTAATATACGTTCCCAATGACAGGTAGAGCTTATCTTCTAGTTATTTTTCTCACGTGTAACGTTTAGGTTCTGGACTCAAGGATATTTTGCAAACAGACAACCATCACCTATAGTTTACCAGGTGTTACATGTCTGTGTATGAAAAGGAAGGTAGAATTTTTTGCAGCTAAGCAGACATAATAGAAACACATAGCATTGTATTGTTTCTATTCAACAAGATACTTCCATGTTTACTAGGCCAGGCACTGTTCTAAGTGCTTTACAAATACTTATCTTCACAAATCCTATGAGGTAAGTACAATTTTTATTTCCCCCACATTACAGATGAGAAAATGAAGTCATGGAGAGGTTAATTATTTTGCTCAAGGTCACAGGGCTAATAAGTGGCAGAGCTAGGGTTGTGTGCCTGCAGAGTCCACACTCTCTATCCCCAGGCGCTGCTAGAAAGAGCTGGGGCTTTGGGACCCTGGGCAAGCCACTTAAATCCTCCCTGTCACATGGGACAATGACACTCACTGCCTCCTAGACTTGTTGAAATCAAATGAGGCTCCATGGGAAGGTCACGTCCATCCCATAGTGGGAACTCATCTGTGTCTTCTTCGGCTAAAATCTGTGTAGAAATCCAAACACAACTTCACTAGAATCCAGGCCAAGGAGAATAACTCACCCAACAAAACATCATCCAAAAACCCAAAAGTAGACAACAGCACCCTTATCTTTTCAGCTAATTTGGGCACCCTGATCACCGAGAGGTTTTGTAAAATGTATTGTATATGAAGAATCTAACTCAAATTGAATTTTGACACATTTTAATATTTGGCATATCTTTTTTTTTTTTTTGCGGTACGCGGGCCTCCCACTGCTGCGGCCTCTCCCGTTGCAGAGCACAGGCTCCGGACGTGCAGGCTCAGCGGCCATGGCTCAAGGGCCCAGCCGCTCCGCGGCATGTGGGATCCTCCCGGACAGGGGCACGAACCCGTGTCCCCTGCATCGGCAGGCAGACTCTCAACCACTGCGCCACCAGGGAAACCCCTGGCATATCTTTTTGAAGAATGAAGTTGAGAGATGAAATTACAATCAAATGTTCTGACAAATTCAGACAATCATTAACAACTTCAACTTTAAACAATACAGTATAAATTTAAGGAAATACATAGCACCTCATGATTCCTTAAGTGCTTCCAGTGACTACAGTCTGCCATTGTTCCTCCTAGTCAACAAGTACTATGAGCATTCCAGAAGCAGGGGTTGTACCCTATATATTCTAAGTGGAAGCTTGGGACAGTCTGAAACTCAGACTCTCCTCACACCAGTCCGCACTGGTACGGTATTTTCAGAGTCTACAAAGCCCTCCCAGAAATACCTTTTCAGTAAATCCTCTCAACCCCATGAAGTATTATCCCCGTTTTAGAGGTCAGTACAATGAAAGCTAGAATGGTGGTGATTTTCACCCACCTCATGTTTGCTTAGTATCTATTATGTGTTAGGCAGCCTGCTGACTGAGGACAGCCCCTGCTTTTGAGGAGTTTTCGGTTCAGTGGGAGAGACAGAAATTCTAAGAGGAAGCACAGGGTGCTCAGCGCTTTGAGAGACGCACACACAGGGCGCTGTGAGAAACGAGGAGGAACTCCTCCTGGGATGTACGAAAGCCTTGCCAGTGGAGGTACTAAGGGCACGGGGGATGTGGGAATGTGGGGGTGGGAGCGTGTGGGAAGAGGGGCTGGCTGAAGGGACGGCGTGCACAAAGGCTCACAGGGAAAATGTGTTGCCTCTGAGGAAGGACATTTATTCACTGCTCTTTGAACTGAGCACCTCCAAGTGCTGGGCTTGTGTGGACAGATGAGGGCCCCACCAGATTGCCAAGTCCTTCCCCTCAAGGAGCTTAATTCTAAAGGCAGAATAGACAATAAAAACATAAATCAAGTAACAAAATGACTGCAGAGTGGCGAGTACTATGAAGGAAATAACTCAGGGCAGGGAGCGAGGGAAGCTGGGAGAAGCGGGTTTTGGAGACATCAGTCAGGGAGGCTTTGAAGAAAGTGCACATAGCTGGCGCGGTGAGAGAAAGGGACACCAGGTAAACGGCAAGCGCAGCAACCCTCACAGGTTACAGCTGGCAGCACTCAAGAGGCAGAAAGGAGGCCAGCGTGGCTGGAGCACGAGGGAAGGACGATGATGCCATGGGTGACAGAGGCGGACACGAGTACCGAGGGCCTTGTAGGTGATGACAAGCAATTCAGATTTAAACTGAGAGCAGTAAGGAGCCTTTGAGGGCTTGATGGTGTTTAACTTACATTTCTAAAGGATATCTCCGGAGGCGGAGGCGCTGTGGAGAATGAATTATTGGGGTCAAGAGTAGGAGTCGTCGTACCAATTAGGAGGCTACTGCCAGAACCCAGGTGAGTGACTGGGTGGCAGCCATGAGGAGAGAAATGGTTGGACCTGAGATAGGCGGCAGCATGGACAGGACCTCCCGATGGCTTGGATACAGACGTGTGGGTAGGAAGGAATTAAGTATAACTGCTAGCAATTGGCACACATGACGCTGTCCTGACACGGAATCTAAGCAAGAGGGAGGATCAAGAGTTCTCTCTTGGAAATGTTCAACCTGAGATGCTTATCAGACATTCAAGTGAAGATATTCCATAAGCAGTTCAACATGTAAGGCAGCAGCTCTGGGGAGAGGTCCAAGATCAGTTCTGAATGCAGGGGTCACTGGCCAACAGATGGTACTAAAAGCTTGAAGTTGAATGGAACAGTCTAGGGAAGAGCATGCTGAGTGAGAAAACCCACATGGAAGTCCTAGGGGGGCCCTTTAGAAGAGGAAAAGCCACAAGAGTAGAATGAGATGGAGTGGCCAGTGGGCAGGAGTGTCAGGTCAGAGAAGCCAGGAGCGAAAGAGGGAGGGGCCAAGTGTGTGAAATGATGCTCAGGACTAAGGAGGTCACTGGCAACCTCTAGAGCAGGAGAGCAGTTTCATGGCAGGGAGCGAAGTGGGGATGGAGAGGGTTAGGCAGACAACGGGAACAGTCACTGCAGACAATTCTCACCAGAGGTGTCTGCGTGAAGGGGAGCAAATGTATGCAGCAGTACATAGGGAGGATATGGGACCGAGGTTTTGTTTTGCTTTAAAGAAAGAATAACAGGATGTTTCCATGCCGACGGGAAAGATCCACCGAGAGGGTCAGATCACAGAAGCCCCATCCTTGGCGGCAAGAGCCCTACACCTCACCTTCTGGTCTCTAGTCGCACATTCCAGCTCCTCTGCTGGATCTAATCGCATGATGCTCTTGTGCCAGTGTCCTTCAGGGCGGCCAAGTTCTAAGCTCTGCTCTTCTCTCTCCTTGCCCTCCTCCTCCTCAGCTCTCCGTGGCTTCAAATGCCCCTGCACCTTGAAAGCTCCATCTCCCCTTTAAACCTCTCCTCAGAAATGCAGATACCAAGATTTCCACCGCGTGCCCAGGCACCCACACTAACCCAGCCCCAGGCTCCACCCCCACCTCTCTCCTCCCCCTGTGTTTTGAGCAAGAGAAGGCTTCCTGTCAAAGTCCTTCAGCCCCTTTACACACTTCGGCCCAACCTCACACATTACCAGCCCAACTGGCTAATGAGAAGCAAAACCAGTATACCAACCTGGATCACTCTGAGTCCGAGATCCATGCTTCCACTACATACAACGCTACTGCTCTCAGAGGAAGTTCCTATAGTTACTTTATTTTCAACACGAATCATAAAATCTTTAGTTAGTCTACAGCTCTTCACATTTTTTTTTTACAGCTATTCACATTTAAGTCAGCATGAGAAAGTATCACTTTACGATAATAAATATTAACATGAGAAAAAGTCTAGCAAAGTGGTTTATTTACAAGTTATTGCTGGAAAAAGTCCTTCGAACAAACCAGTGCAGTGAAAACACCTTAGAGCTGATATCAGTTTCTCAGAGTCCTCATGGCAGCTTTATTAGTGCATCTCATTTTTATGGTGTGTCTGTATGTTCAGCCTTTCAAAGAGCCGCTACTTCATGATGACAGTAACTCTTCAGTGTTTATTTTTATTTCCAAGTTTGTGATTTTTTAAGAGGCTACTTTAGGGCTGTGAATTGTTTCACTGTCTTTTCACTCTCTCTTTTTAGTTCTTCAATATGCGCATCCAGGCGCTCTAGAATGTGATGAGACCTCAGTTCCTCCTCTTCCAAAAATCTTGTGGCTATTGAACCAAGAGGAGACAGAGGCAAGGGACACTAGAAGAGAAACACATTTTGACACACATAAGTTGAATAGTATATTTCTAAGACATATTATTCATGATATTTTCTAACTAGCAATATTAAAAGGTGATGTTTTAAAAAATGCTTTCCTCTGAAAGCATTTGTATATCCTTCTATACCCCAGAAGAGAAATACTTAATGCCTATTATTTCAAACACACTTTTAAAATCTGAATGTTACTTTTGTTTTAAAGCATAGAAAAGCTACCTATAATAAATTAGATATCAGTTAAAATCAATACTTTCCTTCTTCCAAATTTTGAGTCCACAGTGCCTTATCTGAAACCACTGGTTTCAGAATTTAGATTTTAGAAAGGTCACATGTACCAAATTCAGTCAATCCTCATTTGCAGTAGTTATTTTCTATGAAAGTCATCTCAAACACTGAATTAATGAATATTGAAACACTGTTCTTATGGGAAACACACACACACACACACACACTTCACATAGACTATAATCCTAACTCCTAAAAACAACTCAACCAGTAGATTCTATTTTCTTTATTTTACAAAAGAGAAAACATGGTTGAGAGTGTTTAGTGACCTGCCCAAGGCCACCCCACTAAAGGGTGCCAGAGTTGGGGTTCAAACCCTGTTCAACGCCAGCATCCGAGCTTCTTACACTGCACTGTGCTGTCCCCCAGGGGCTCCATCCTCTGGGTATCTCAACTCAGCACAAGAGCTGAAACAAGAGGGCAAAGTGCCACCTTGACTGACCTCAGGTGGAAACATGCAAGTCCAGTGACTCAAATTTTGTGCACCTCTGCACACGTTCACGAATCACTGTGGAAGTGCTCATGAGTACTGCTCAGGGATTACAAACAGTTTAGTGAGTAGATGAATTCGCAAATACAGACTCATGAGGGGTCAGAGGTAACTCCCATAATCAAACACATTGATATTTCTGAAGTAAAATGCTAAGTGGGATCAATAAAGTCTATACATACTATCACATCAGTTCAGTTCAGGCCAGGTGAGGTTTCAGTGCCAAATAAGTTTTGCTGACAAACTTAGGAAGAAAGTTAGTTGTCAGGACTTTTTTGGATTTCAGAAATACATATATTACATATATTTTGACAACTAAAAGAAAACCTTCCCATGGACTTGTTGGCACATTAAAAAGTCAAAAATACTGAACTTTCTCAGGTACACGACCACGGGAGGTTGATGGGAATGAATGGCCAGAGGCGAGTGCTTCAGCACAGAAGGTAAAGAAAAGATGGTGGAGTGGAGTCCTCACAGCAGCTGCGAGAACAAGGGGCCAGTCCACGTGGAAAGGCAGCCTCTGACACCAGGGCCACCACTGTGTGGCACCCAGTCCATGTTCTAGACACGTCAGATGCGACTCCTTCCCTCGCCTCTACCCACCTCTTTCCCTTTCCAACCGTTCCTTTTCTCCTTCCCCACTGTCTATGCCCCAGGACTATCTTGGCAGGCAGAGATATTCCTTGAACCAATCATCCCAACACAAAATTGACCCTCTCTGAAAAAGGCAGGAATGGAATTTCCCATTCAGGCTAAAAAGAAATGAATACCTATAACTTATGTTATATTTCTTAAGATCCATTTTGAAAAGTAGTCGTGGCCAACAGTGTCTTCACAAGCAAAACCTTAAGACAGAAATAACTGAGGATAATAAAGGCTGCTTAAAGAGAGAGAACCAGTAAGGGGGGTGGCGGGGGGGAATACTGCTCCTCCTTAAAATAAAAAATAAAATCAAACTAAATAAACTTAATACACTAGTAAGCTCAGCAAGTCTCCATACCGAATATATAAAGTCTTCTTGGTCATTTATACTTTCAGAGACAGTGTCAGAAAAATTGGTTTCATTTGTATCTAGCACTGAAGGCAGAGAGTGAGTTTTGCACAGAAAGTTAGAAGGCAGAGAGATGGTGGAGCAGCAAGGGCTGATCTGATGACTCGGGGGGCTGAGGCCCCTGGACACAGGCTCTATGCTATCCAACGCTTGTCCTTGCGTAGAATGAAGACCTGCTTTGTAGTGCTCAGCCTCCATCCCATCATGCTTGCGCTGGCCACTGGTTGGCCTGGATAGCAGATTAGAAAATCAAACAGATAAACATTGTAGCAACTTTCCTCTTTTAAAACATACTTGTTGTTGAAGTTCACTTAAACTCACAGGACCAGGCTAAGAAGGCTGTAATTTACCAAATGAGCAGCCAGCTCCGACCAGATGGTCTTTCCCTCACTCCGGCCCCAATCCCCGATCCCCACCGCCAGGCCCCCGCCCCCCACACACAATACAGCAAGGAAGATAAGCAAGCTGCCAGGCCCGCCCCCCACACACAATACAGCAAGGAAGATAAGCAAGCTGCCAGGGTGACCCCGTGTGGTTGGTGCTTAGGATAGAGGGAAGCACTGTGCAGAGAGAAGGCCCTTATCTTCATCTGGGGAAGAGGTGGGAGTGGGGGTGAGGGTGTCAGCAAAGGCTCCCGGTAGGAAAACGTGTAAACCGTACCGTAGGAGCTGAAGCCAGGTGGTTTTTCACTGAATGCTGACTTCTTAGGTAACAGTCTATCATTAGTTGACCAAAAATACAAAAGAAGCTTTTTACAAAAAGCCAACTTCTACTTCTTATGGGGCAAGTGGGGCTGGAGAGGTAGGAGGCGGCATGAGGAGGCTCAGTGGAACAGGCTGCCATTTACACCTACATCCAGAAGCCTCAATGAAAGTGCTTAGAACCCCTGCACCTCTTAACCTAACAGCTTTACTTGTGCACTGTGTACTTCAGGATTAAACAGAGTCCTTTGACAAAGGTTTACTTTCTGTAAATTGGAAATTATTCTCAAAGAAATGAGAATTATATTATAAAGATATATATTTTAAATAAACTATGAAGAAATTTTACTTGAACTCCATGTTCTTGAACTCAGGTACTCTGCTGTGTGTTGGTTTAAAGGTCCTGTCCTGTTTTTTTTTGCAAATCTGAGTAGAAATCTCCAGCTGAGCTTTGGTATCCATCAAATCTTTCTGTAGTTGTTGATTTTCAGACACTAATTTATTTAATGCCTCAATATAATTCTCCTGGAGGTCTGCTAGTGAAACCTCTTTTGCCTAATAAAAAAGAATACTAGAGTCACTTACTTTATACAAGAATAACTTGTAATCTGTGATATTGCTGTTGGAAAATTACTTTCAGCTGTGACTAGTTAATCTATGGCTTTACTCAGGAAAAAGTGAAGATTTGGTTTTGGTCCCCTAAAAGAGAAACAACGTTCTGTTTCTTACAGTAAATAGAGGCAGAAAACGAGGAGCACAATGGGCTTCCCTGATGTGCCAAGGAATATCCAAGGAACTGGAGGAAAGCTGGAACTAGGATGGAAGAAAGCTACGGATGAGAATCAAAAACAGGGAAAAAGAAAGAAAATAGCAGCCATGGATTCTTCCTCAAGAAAGAGAACGTTGAGCTCAGTGAAATAAGTCAGAAAGAGAAATCCAGATACTGTATGTTATCACTTAGATGTGGAATCTAAAAAATAAAACAAACAAATGAATATTACAAAACAGAAACAGAACAAACTAGTGGTTTACCAATGGGGAGGGGGGGGCGACCAGATAGGGGTAGGGGTTTAAGAGGTACAAATGCATGTATATGTATAAATAAATAAGCCACAAGGACATATTGTACAGCACAGGGAATAAAGCCATTATTTTACAATAACTCTAAATGGGCTATAATCTATAAAAATACTGAATCATGTTGTACACTTTAATATAATATTGCAACTATACAATTATACAACTACGCTTTAACTTAAAAAAAAAAAGCTACTGATTAAAAAAAAAAAAAAAAAGGAAAGAGAAGGTTGAATAGCCCCAGAATACCTGTGGAAGAAAATCAAGAGACCTATTTCAAAGAAAGAAATTTGGACATAAGTCTCTGGAAAGGAATTCTGGCTGGCAGGGACAACTTTTAAATAAAAAAACTCTCTGGTCTTAAAGAGTTTTACATAATGTTGGCACCTATTCTGGTATGTGAAATAAATTTGGACATGATAAGGTAGTATTCAAGGATAAGGTAGGTATGACTACTCTGATCTGGTCTGAATTCTGTGATTATTTATTGTTCTTCAATTCTAGGTGTTTCCTGGTAATACAGTACCTAAAAAAACAGAGGTCTGGACCATTTTCTTCTAATGACAAAATATTTTCATTAGCATTCTGAAACATTATGGTTATCTTCTTTGGAATTTAATTCAATGTTTAGCTTGGTCTTTTCTATAAAGAACTTTCCGAAAATAAGCTGGTAATCAGTGGTTTGACAAACAATTTACCTAACAAAAAAGTAAATCTTAAAATACAACCGTTTAACTATCTGTTCTAGCAGTGACAGTAAGTTACAAAATGCTAAAATCTCAAAAAAAAAAATTTGCAGGACTTAGGAGTTAAACTATAAACTACTGTCAATTTTTTTTTTTACTGTGGTAAATACTTTATCAGAGCTATTGCTTTTACTATTAAGATAATTAGATACTTTTATTAAAACAATTATTTAACTAAAATATTAATTTGTAAAAGTAACATCACCTTCCTCCATGGTAAAATGCAAAACGGCACTTTCTAATAATTGTTCTTAATATGTACACCATGTTTACACTGTGCGTAACTTCAAAACCGGAGAAGTATAAACTGCTAACAGGATTCTCACCAGCCAGAGTTTGATGTCTGATGTTATTAAATATACTTTTTAAAAGAAGATAATGTTTGCTTTTGCCAGGCAGGCATCTTTTAAATTTTTCTCAAATTTATTATTTTATTATCAACAATTACAGATGAATGTGGAAGGTAATATAAAAAGTGCATAGCAAGCACACACCTTGCTGTGTAAAGAAAGGACATTATCACCACTGTTAGATAGAGGTTTCAAGGAGATATTAAGCTGAACAGATTCTCTGGTCATAGTTTGGCTTACGCACCCCTGAGAGTTCCCAACTCTTCAATATGAATAGGTAATCACTGCATAAGATAAGATTCTGTCAATCAGCTAATGCCAAATCCTGAGCCTTCTGAAGATTCTGTGGTGCAAATCAGACTGGTTCTAGGTTTTCTCCACCACTAGCTTAGTATTGGGTTAAATCAGGGCATATAAAGTCATTTCCCTCCCTCCTTCCCTCCTTCCCTCCCTCCCTCCCTTCCTTCCTTCCTTCCATCTCCCCCCTTACAAAATGTTTAGCTGTTGTCTCCTCTCCCACTTTTTCCATCCTTGTAGGTTTGTGCTTTAAAAAAAAAAAAAAAAAATCCTTTCATTATAGTTTTAGAGGGATTTGGGGAGGGAGCAAGATTAGATGTGCCCATTCATCTGCCACCTTAAATGATGGCATAATATTTCCTAGTATAGGAAGTCATGATTAACCATCCCTCTATAGATTAACATTTAGTTTTTTTCAAAATTTTGGATATTGCAAACAACACTGAAATGACCATTTTTATGCCTTTGCTCCTACAGGATGGGTTCTTTGGGAATGCAAACTGATATGACCTTTCTGGAAAACAATGATGATCAAAATCAGAAAAGCACATGACTCAGGACTTTATAGGCTACATGTATTTACATACAGTTTAATGGATATTGCTAAATTGCCCTCTAGAATAGCTATGTCAATTCACTTTCTCATTAACAGACCACTGAAGAGCCTATTCCTCTATATCCCTGCCAACACTGGCTATACTGGATTTAATAAATCACTGTCAAGCCAATAAACAAAAGAATATTTATTTCTTTTGTTTTGATTATTAGAGGGGTGTAACTGCTTTTCTTCATTACTGGATTTTTGCATTACTTCTATGAATTAACTATTTATGTCCTTTACCCATTTTTCTACTGGATTCCAATCTTTTTATTATCTTTACAGGAAATCTTTATATATTAATATTTTATATTAACCTTTTATCTGTTAATAGATTGTTTTCCTCTAGTCTATTAATCTTTTTTAATGGGGTCTTTTGTCATCCAGAAATTTTATGTTTTTATGTTGTAAAATTCCTTATGTTGTAAAATTCTTTACGGTTTTGTGATGCTAAGAGAGTCTCACCCTCTCAAAATATTATAAAAATGGTCCCCCGTATTTTCTTTTAGCTGAAATAACGTATTCATGTAGTTTTTTGCATGTTCTTCCACTCAGCCTCCATAATCCATGAGTGTGGAACTAAAACTACTTAGGAGCAAATAGGGGCATTGTGTGACCATGGATCTTTGGAGGCACACACTCTCTGGAAATACAGAAAAAAAGAATTTCTACAATCTCTGGGCATTTGACCTACATCAAGAAAAGATGGGTCAGAACAGATGGGTCATTTTGAAAATTATATAGATTTTATAACAAAATAGTTCAAAGAGCATCCACACAGTTTATAACTCACTGTTAGCTGATCATGTTCCCTGGTTTCACAGCAGTTTGTTTACATTTCTTATCCTCCCTACTAGATTACCCTCAATCTTGTAAAGGCAAGAATCTTATCTTAATTCATTTTTGTGTCCATTACATTGTCTACTAAAATACTTTGAACATAAAAGATTCTAGAATATTTGATGAAATGAACTATATCTTGTAGAAATATAATTAAAACCAAACTATTTAAAAGATCATATACTTTATAATGAAAAGATATTGTGAACACAATAATTTCAGTAATAATACTAACAGCATTAAACATTTATTGTGTATTTACTAAATGCCAGACACTATGCCAAGCCCTTTACATACATTCTCCCTATTAAGAACACCTTATGTATTTTATCACAAACATAATAGTTTTTTAAATCTTCCAACTGCTGGAATGGAAAGTCATATTTTGCTCACTACCATCACTGTCTTGACTTCTTTTCATTTGAGAAAGTTTTTGCAGAAGGAGCATTTCATAGTTTGATCTTAACTTTCTCTTTACAATATCAGAATTTACAAAGTGATTTCTTTAAAGGCTTGCATAGTAGAAAAACTTAAGTTTCTATTTATGTACCTCATGTAAACCCAATTCTAATTTCATCACCATTTCAGAAAGACGATGATTTTCTAACTTGAGTGACTCCAACTGAGCCAAAATCTCCTGAGAAGGGAAAAGCAAAAAACAAATAAATGTAACAAATAAATCAAACACATATTATAAAATTTTTCCACATGTAATTTTCATTAGGCGAGGTCACATTCTTCATTCATATATATAAATACCTTCTGAAAGGTTGTTGAAAAGGTGTTTCAACATGAATTCATATGCGTGCAATTAGAATACTATTCTAAGAAGATGAATCAGGCACTGGTAACCCCCAGCACTCCTCTTACTGGCCTCCACCCCCAGCATCTTGTGGACTACACTCCTTTCACAAGGTAGTAAACCTTATTTTCAGTCCTCATTCTCCTTAGCTTTTCTGCTTAGCCATTCCTACCTGAAAAGATTCCTTCCTTCCCTGCCTTCCTGCTTCCTTTGTGAAAACTACCTGATTTCCTTCCTCATTGCTACTTTTCTTTTTAGCTCCATTCCAACACCTTTTTACCCTAAATGAGTAGATTCCTAAGTTTGGTGCAAGTCTCCCCTCTTCATACTCTATGCCTTCCCGCTATAATATCAAAGTCTCTCAGGGTTTCAAATGCCAACTTCATGCAAAGATTTCCACAGCTAAATGTCTTACCTTGATTTTAATCTTGAACTCCAGGCCTTCTGTGGAATTGACTACTAGATATTTCCATATGGAAATCCTATTTATAGTTTGCCTATTTTATGTACCCTTTATACAAACTCATTATCCTCCTCAAACCTGCTCCCTATCTTTTCTGTATTTCACTAAAGAGCATCACTTCCTATTCAGTTGCCCAAGCCAGAATGCTGAGTGACATCTTTTCCTAACTCTGTCTAACTCATTCTCCTGGCCCAATCAAATACAAAGCCCAGTCGATTTTCTCCAGAATGCATCCATTTCCCTCTGCCTCCCTGGCGCAGTGCTCGGGCCACAGTCTCACTGCTGTGACAGCATCCTAGTAGTCTCTCTGCCTCCTCACGTATTCTCCACACGACAATCACAGAGACCTTTTACTCCTGCACAGGGTGGGCAGGCCCTTCAGGAGCAGGTCACTGCTTTCCAGTCTCATCCCTGACCACTCGCCCTGTCTGAACTCTGGTCTGTCACAGCGAACGTGGCACAGCCTCAATACACACCCTACACACCACAGAGAGGGTCTCTTCACTTGTCTCATCTACTCTCACCTCCCACCAATCTCCACTAGACTGCTTGTTAACCAGCCTACTCTTAGCCTGAAGAAGAGGGCTAATAAAAATTTACTGAATTAAGTACTATGGAAATTATACCTTTAATAAATTGAATCTTCAGAAACAAACTTCAGGGGCTTCCCTGGTGGCACAGTGGTTGGGAATCCGCCTGCCAATGCAGGGGACATGGATTCGAGCCCTGGTCCGGGAAGATCCCACATGCCGCAGAGCAACTAAGCTCATGAGCCACAACTACTGAGCCTGAGCTCTAGAGCCCACAAGCCACAACTACTGAGCCCACGTGCCACAACTACTGAAGCCCGCACGCCTAGAACCTGTGCTCCGCAACAAGAGAAGCCACTGCAATGAGAAGCCCGCGCACTGCAATGAAGAGTAGCCCCCACTCACCACAACTAGAGAAAGCCTGCACACAGCAACAAAGACCCAATGCAGCCAAAAATAAATGAATAAATAAATTAAAAGAAAAAAAAAAAAAACTTCAAATAAAGAGAATTTTTGTTCTAGTTTCACCTTGTGCTCTACTGCTTTTTCTTCTGCCTTTTGTATCTCTGCTTTGAGTTGATTCTCCATGTCAGAGGAAGAACTTTTGGTGGAAGCAATAGTGATATCTCGCTGATGTAACTCTCGAGTTAGCTGGGAGATCTCCATCTTCATTCCCTCTAGTACAGAACTGTAACTCTGTTCAGCCTGCAAAATCTGTTCTTTCAACTACAAAGAAATAGAAGGCATTAAAAATTAAGAGAAGACATGTTAGATAGAAAAATATAATAATAAAGTAATTTTTACCTTACCTCAAGACATGAATTTTTCCCTGATTAAATCTGCAGAAAATTAGCAATTTACCAAGCTGCATATCTGTACTGAAGGTCAGGTAGTTATACCCACAATTACCTATTAGATTTCAAAACAGGGAGAGATGTCTTACTCAAATGCTGAGAACCAGTATCGAAGTCGAAGCCACGTTGTTTAGAGGACAGCACCTGTGACCTTCATTCTTTTTCTAGTTGCAAATCTAAAAAATTTGCTTATATAGTTTCCTGGTCCACAGAAGACAACAGAAAGGCAAGAGGAAGAAAGGGGCTAGAAGTAATCTCAAAGAAGTAATAAAAAATATGAGTCAACAAACAGGACAGCCAGGGCCCACTAACATAGAGACAAACTCTGCACACTTCAAATGCCAATAAGGATATAACTACCCACAGCACAGAAGAGAATACACATCCATCACCACCTTTGGTCAGTAAGAAAATATTAAATGCCAGCTCATATAATATGTTCATGTGCTTGTGCAAGCAAGAAGGTGCGTAGCTTCTAGAAAACTTTTCATCAAGGCACATTTAAAATAACGTTGTAGGGGCTTCCCTGGTGGCACAGTGGTTGAGAGTCCGCCTGCCTATGCAGGGGACACGGGGTCGTGCCCCGGGCCGGGAAGATCCCACGTGCCGCGGAGCGGCTGGGCCCGTGAGCCATGGCCGCTGAGCCTGCGCGTCCGGAGCCTGTGCTCCGCAACGGGAGAGGCCACGGCAGTGAGAGGCCCGCGGACAGAAAAAAAAAAAAAAAAAGTTAAAATAACGTTGTAGGGGCTTCCCTGGGGGCACAGGGGTTGAGAGTCCGCCTGCCTATGCAGGGGACACGGGGTCGTGCCCCGGGCCGGGAAGATCCCACGTGCCGCGGAGCGGCTGGGCCCGTGAGCCATGGCCGCTGAGCCTGCGCGTCCGGAGCCTGTGCTCCGCAACGGGAGAGGCCACGGCAGTGAGAGGCCCGCGGACAGAAAAAAAAAAAAAAAAAGTTAAAATAACGTTGTAGGGGCTTCCCTGGGGGCACAGGGGTTGAGAGTCCGCCTGCCTATGCAGGGGACACGGGGTCGTGCCCCGGGCCGGGAAGATCCCACGTGCCGCGGAGCGGCTGGGCCCGTGAGCCATGGCCGCTGAGCCTGCGCGTCCGGAGCCTGTGCTCCGCAACGGGAGAGGCCACGGCAGTGAGAGGCCCGCGGACAGAAAAAAAAAAAAAAAAAGTTAAAATAACGTTGTAGGGGCTTCCCTGGGGGCACAGGGGTTGAGAGTCCGCCTGCCTATGCAGGGGACACGGGGTCGTGCCCCGGGCCGGGAAGATCCCACGTGCCGCGGAGCGGCTGGGCCCGTGAGCCATGGCCGCTGAGCCTGCGCGTCCGGAGCCTGTGCTCCGCAACGGGAGAGGCCACGGCAGTGAGAGGCCCGCGGACAGAAAAAAAAAAAAAAAAAGTTAAAATAACGTTGTAGGGGCTTCCCTGGGGGCACAGGGGTTGAGAGTCCGCCTGCCTATGCAGGGGACACGGGGTCGTGCCCCGGGCCGGGAAGATCCCACGTGCCGCGGAGCGGCTGGGCCCGTGAGCCATGGCCGCTGAGCCTGCGCGTCCGGAGCCTGTGCTCCGCAACGGGAGAGGCCACGGCAGTGAGAGGCCCGCGGACAGAAAAAAAAAAAAAAAAAGTTAAAATAACGTTGTAGGGGCTTCCCTGGGGGCACAGGGGTTGAGAGTCCGCCTGCCTATGCAGGGGACACGGGGTCGTGCCCCGGGCCGGGAAGATCCCACGTGCCGCGGAGCGGCTGGGCCCGTGAGCCATGGCCGCTGAGCCTGCGCGTCCGGAGCCTGTGCTCCGCAACGGGAGAGGCCACGGCAGTGAGAGGCCCGCGGACAGAAAAAAAAAAAAAAAAAGTTAAAATAACGTTGTAGGGGCTTCCCTGGGGGCACAGGGGTTGAGAGTCCGCCTGCCTATGCAGGGGACACGGGGTCGTGCCCCGGGCCGGGAAGATCCCACGTGCCGCGGAGCGGCTGGGCCCGTGAGCCATGGCCGCTGAGCCTGCGCGTCCGGAGCCTGTGCTCCGCAACGGGAGAGGCCACGGCAGTGAGAGGCCCGCGGACAGAAAAAAAAAAAAAAAAAGTTAAAATAACGTTGTAGGGGCTTCCCTGGGGGCACAGGGGTTGAGAGTCCGCCTGCCTATGCAGGGGACACGGGGTCGTGCCCCGGGCCGGGAAGATCCCACGTGCCGCGGAGCGGCTGGGCCCGTGAGCCATGGCCGCTGAGCCTGCGCGTCCGGAGCCTGTGCTCCGCAACGGGAGAGGCCACGGCAGTGAGAGGCCCGCGGACAGAAAAAAAAAAAAAAAAAGTTAAAATAACGTTGTAGGGGCTTCCCTGGGGGCACAGGGGTTGAGAGTCCGCCTGCCTATGCAGGGGACACGGGGTCGTGCCCCGGGCCGGGAAGATCCCACGTGCCGCGGAGCGGCTGGGCCCGTGAGCCATGGCCGCTGAGCCTGCGCGTCCGGAGCCTGTGCTCCGCAACGGGAGAGGCCACGGCAGTGAGAGGCCCGCGGACAGAAAAAAAAAAAAAAAAAGTTAAAATAACGTTGTAGGGGCTTCCCTGGGGGCACAGGGGTTGAGAGTCCGCCTGCCTATGCAGGGGACACGGGGTCGTGCCCCGGGCCGGGAAGATCCCACGTGCCGCGGAGCGGCTGGGCCCGTGAGCCATGGCCGCTGAGCCTGCGCGTCCGGAGCCTGTGCTCCGCAACGGGAGAGGCCACGGCAGTGAGAGGCCCGCGGACAGAAAAAAAAAAAAAAAAAAAAAAGTTAAAATAACGTTGTAGAGTTCAAAGGGGCAGGCTTCAACTATCTTGAAAATACTTACACGGCATCCCTGGGGATGACACAGAAAGACACTCTCCTAAGCACCTTCCAGGTACTCTCTACTCATGAGCATCAAATGGCCTCTGGGTTACACTTTTCTCTCATTAAAAATACTTCCTGTAACCTCTCAACCCACAGCTCAGTCCATAAACACAAAGGGCTTTGCGATCCCAGGCATGCGGACCATTACCTTCTTAATCTCGGCCCTGTACTCATTGTTATGCACTTCCATCTTCTTCAGTTCTTCATATTTTTCCATTAGCTCTTGGCTCAGCTGTTTACATGTTGTACTCATAGATTCCAAGCTGTATGACAAAATTAAGGTCACATATTTAAAATAAAACAAAACCCTGAAACCCACAAATTGAGTTATCTAACCTACCTTCTTGATGTCCAAGAAATACCCTTAAACATCACCTCCCACCCCAAAATAAAACTCATTTCCGATTTCCTTATCACTGGAGGCAGCTAAATCCAGTTCACACTTCTGGAGATACTTCTGAGTTCTGTGTTTACCTATATTCTTTCTCTCTGCTTAGAATATTACTGGTTACAAAATTCTAAAGATTATAACAACTTAGGTAGTTTTTTTCTCTCTAGTTGTACAGGAGCTGCATCATAATCTCAGTCTTCACCAACTTAATTACAATCCCATCCTACACACAGCTGCCAAAAGAATCTTCTTCAAAGAGTTTCCAACTTGTCACCCTTACTTAAGAATCAATCACTCATCAGATACAAGAACCTCAGGGGCACCATACCTCTCTTATCTCACAGCTCATATCTACTAATAAAGTCTTTTTGCCATTAAATTGCTAGGCTTTACTGTCTGCCACGTGCCATTTGCTAAGCCTGACTTCTTGTCTCTTCACACACCATCCCCTTGACCACACAGCACCTTCCCCTCCTACCAGGCAATGGATAGTCAACACCCTTTCAAGAATCAGATCAACATTTACCTGGATAGAGCCACACTGACCCTCATTCCTTAATTACCTTAAAAACAGTCTATTTTCAATTGTTAGAGCTTGAATGTAGACATTTTCTAGAATTTTCACTTTAAATTGCTCTTAGGTTCTTTAATGTGCATATTATGTTTCTCGAACTACAAATTCTATGATTAAAATAATGTCTTTTACTTCTTACCTCCCTCTAACCTTGCCCACCATACCCTTATGCCCTGCATCATTTGGTTACAGACTGTTCAATACAGGCTTAATAACTATCTAGGTTGTTTCACCCACACAGCCAACTTACCAGATAAGCTATCGTTCAAAAATACCATCTCTACAATACAACAACACAAAAACAATCACCTAAATTCCTACAGTTCCTGTTTCAGGGAATATTCTGTTCAAACTGAACAACACAAATAAGCTGTCTAAAAGGGTTCATTTTTCTACTTGCCTTTTGATACAGAAAAATAATTTTGAAAGTCTTTGTTTTACTACTGAACACTGGTATTTGTATCCATTTATTCCAACTTTACCTATTTCTAAAAATCCTAGAATGCTTATTTATTTGGTACTTAGAATGTGACTACAGTGTGTCAAACACTGAGGTAGAGCAAGAAGAAAATCAGATAATCTTGTCCTATCTACAGACGGGAAAATTGAGGCCTAAAGAGACTAAAGTGTCCCAGGTCACAATGCAAGAGGCAGTGTGTCAGAAACAAGAGGCAAGTCTTCAGAGCCTGCTGAGAGCACAGCAAAACATGTAAAAGATCACTAAAAAGTCAATCAACGGAAAATCAGGATAAAAAATGTAAATATTAGTTCTAATATCAATAAGAATACTAAGCTTTTATTTTATTCAACCTAAAGTATGCAAATATACCTCAGTAATGACAACTAAGAATATCTTAAGTATTCCAAGGTGAGAAAGAAATAAAGCAAAAACTCTGTGTGTGTATATGCATGTATATTTAATATGTAAAGAAAATATTTAGTGGTTTGCAAAAACAGAAATAAAAGATATATTACTTAAAGATAGGACAAAAACCTTATTACTGTACTTAAAAGGGTAAAATGGCAATTTTTTGGTTATCTGTTTGCCTAAAGGCTAACAGTTTATTTATTTTATTTTTATCTTCTACACAGCAGAAAATACTACTGTACAAATGACCATGATTTACGTTTAAACAAAATATCAAACTCTTCCCAATCAGCAAATTCAGCAGGTTGACAAAAAAAGTTCACAGTATGGTGATACAAGTGAGCTGGGCATGGTATAGCATAAGTCAGGATTCAATCAACACACTAGGAAATATCAACAGCATTTCAGCACAGAAGGAAGGAGCACCATGTGTCCAGGGAGATCTCCCCAAGAGCAGCTCCAGTGATGTGGCTGGTAGAGGGGAAAGGCTGCCTAACTGAAGGCCTTCTGCACAGGAGAAATGTGAAGATGTACAGTCAGTCAATAGAGACACAACCCTTTTGAAGAATTTGGTTTTAAAGGACAGCAGAGAAATACAGAAGTAACTTGACAGGGGTATAGAATTAAAGGAGGATTTTCATTTTTTTCCCAAGATGAGGAATATTAAAACATATTTTATACTAGTGGAAATGATTTAGCAGAGATTAAAAACTTGATGATGTAAAAGAGAAAAGGAGAAGCTGTAGAATCAGTATTTAAGTGGAGTCTTAGGAGCACAGACATCATCCATTGATTCATTCACTCTAACAGATTAAGGACACAGACAGATTGCAGGCTGACTGGTAGGTTTGGTGGTAAGAATATTAGGAAGTTCTCCTTTAACTGAGATTTACAGTTCTCCTTTAATCTCAATGAAATAAGAAGTTAGGCCATTTGTGAATGATAGAGAAAAAAATTTTTTTTCACTTGTTATATTAGCTTACTTTATCAATACGATGATTGAAAATAGTTTCTAACAATTTGAGTGTTTCTGAAATGTATGTAATTGCCTACCTGCCTTCCAGACAAGTCACTTCTGCCTGCAGAAGTTCTTCACCACTGTGGGTAAAATCCAGTCGGGAGAGCACATTCTCTAAGTCTCCCTGCCCTTGAGAGGCATACCTCCTTTCTGCCTGAGACTCCTCCAGTGACCTACGGGAAGACACAGGAGGACTGTTAAACGCCTTGTATCTTTGCAAACAAAAGCAAAACACAGCCAGTTCATATTTCCCAACTCTTTTTGGTAATGAAACTCTTCAGAACTCTTCAGTTTGTTTCCTGATTTACGAAAAAACAAAACAAAACAAAAAACTGGGTGAGTAAAGAGGCAGAGATGATGCTTCTAAAAAAGTCAGCAACAGTTTACTCTTTTCTCAACTGGGATTTGGCCTGTTTTTCAAGGGAAAAAGACAAAATGGCAAAAATCACCTTGTTGACACTTGATATCTTGAGTTAAAGAAACTGAAAAGTTACAGACAAAAACAGAAATGTGCACCAGACTTAAATTACAAACTTCAGAGCAACAATTCATACATAGAAACAAAATTAACTTTAGGATTTTTTTAAAGGGCTATCTCAATAGTTGGCTTATTGATGGTATTGATGATAAGCAGCTACTAAACATGATCTGTTCTACCAAGGAAGGGAGGCCTCCCAGGAGACATAGACTATAATTCCTTTCACGTTTGCAGTTTTGGCAAGGATATGGATTGACAAAAGGGTTCCTAACTTTCTAAACATCAGAGTCTCTTGGTTAGGGGACCCAAACTGCAGGCAGAAAAAACTAATCATACAATATTTTCTAAAGATATAAAACTTTAACTCAGAAATTAAAACTGAATAAGAAAACCCATAATATGATCAAACACAAAATTATGAATATGCAATATTAAAAATGGTGCTTAATGCTAAACCACCCTGTGGCTAAGATTAATAATATTTAAGATTAAATATACCTTATGGTCTCTACTGTGTGTTGAGTGTCAGTTGCCTTTAATTTTGCTTGTAGCTTCTCCTTTTGTATTCTTGTCTCACACATGAAATTTTCTTGGGTCTGAAGAGCTGCCTTCAATTCTCTCTTTTCTTCTTGCAGAACCTGCAAAAATACTCAGAAAAAAAGTCAGATGTTATTAAATTTTTCTATTTCATGAGAAAACATAGCCAGGGAGTCAAACTGTAAGTTATATAACAGGCACCATATTAATAAGGTCTGTTATTAATATCTGATCCTGTTATTAATATCAATATATATTGGCTACAGAGTAGGGAAGAAACCATAGATTTTGGAACCTAGTTCCAGGTTCATTAGTCTCTCTTAAAACACACATACACACATTTCCTCAGTTACAGTATATTACAATTTAAAAACATACCTCTAACAGTTTTTCAGATTCCCTCAATTTTTCTTCTTTTTGCTGCTGGTCTTGCATAATAGTCATATTGGTTCCAACCAAGTCATTGACCCTCATGGTGAGGCGCTCTATTTCCAACTCATTGGCACAGATGGTGTCATTGGCCCGCTCCAGCTTACTGCTCAGGTGCTGAATTTCCGACTGGCTGGATAGCTCCACAGACTCTAATTTTTGTTTCCGATTGGCAAGCTGAGCCTAGAAACACACAAATTAACAACTGGTAAAAGTGAAAAGGTAAAAGAATAACCAATGAATAAGGAAAACTAAAATGAAACTGAGTTTTACTTCCATAAATACATATAGCATTAGCTCATTAAAATATATAATCCATTCATGATAAAAAAAAATTTCCATGATAAAAACTAGGAATAAAGGGAACTTTCTCAATTTGGTAAAGACTATCTACAGAAACCTTACAGCTAACATTATACTTAAAGGGGGGAAACTTGATACTTTCCCACTGAGATCAGGTACAAGGCAAGGATGTCTCCTCACACCACTCATTTTCAATGTCACACTGGATATCCTTGTTAATGCAATAAGGCAAGAAAAGGAAATAAAAGGTATACAGATCAGGAAAGAAGTCATAAAACTGTCTTTGTCCACAGATAACATGATCATCTATGTAGAAAATCTGAAAGAATCGACCAAAAAAAAAAAAAAAATCTCCTGGAGTTAGTAAGCAACTATAGCAAGGTTGCAGGATATAAGGTTAATATATAAAAGTCAATCACTTTCCTATATGTCAACAATAAACATGTGGAATTTAAATTAAAGACACAATACTATGGGCTTCCCTGGTGGCACAGTGGTTGAGAGTCCACCTGCCAATGCAGGGGACGCGGGTTTGTGCCCCGGTCCGGGAAGATCCCGCATGACGCAGAGCGGCTGGGCCCATGAGCCATGGCCGCTGAGCCTGCGCGTCCGGAGCCTGTGCTCCGCAACGGAGAGGTCACAACAGTGATAGGCCCGCATACCGCAAAAAAAACAAAAACAAAAACAAAAAAACCACAATACTATTTATAGTAACACCTAAAGAAATTACTTAAGTATAAATCTAACAAAATATGTACAAGATCTATATGAGAAAAACTATAAAACTCTGATGAATGAAATTAAAAAACTAAATAAATGAAGAGATATTCCATGTTCATGGAAAGGAAGAATCAATCCTGTCAAGATGTCAGCTCTTCCCAATATTATCTATGAATTCAACACAATCCCAATCAAAACATCAGCAAGTTATTTTATGGATATCAACAAACTACAGTTTATATGCAGAGGCAAAGACTAAGAATAGCCAATACAATATCAAAAGAGAAGAACAAAGTTGGATGACTGATGTTACCTAACTTCAAGATTTACTATAAAGCTACAGTAATCGAGACAATGTAGTACTGGCAAAAGAACAGACAAATAGATTAATGTAACAGAATACAGAGCCCAGAAATAGACCTTTATAAATATAGTCAACTGATCTTTGATAAAAGAGCAAAGGTGATACAATGGAGCAAAGACAGTCTCTTCAACAAATGGACATCCACATGCAAAAAAATGAATCCAGGCAAAGGCCTTACACTCTCCACAAAAATAAACTAAAATGGATCACAGACATAAATGTAAAATGAAAACTATAAAACTCTTAGAAGATAGCATAGGAGACAACATAGATGACTTTGGGTACAGTAGGAGATAGAAGACCTACTGAGGTAGGAGATAGATGGACCCCTGGGCTGGACAGCTGGTGTCTGCAAGTGAAGTAAAATTGAAGCTTTGTTCTCACCCAGCCACTCCAAGGACAAAGCAAGTGGCAGAAGCTGAGCTCTGCTGAAGTAAAAAGATGACCAGTCCTGAGGTCAAGGAAAACTTCCCTGTCTGCATATGTGCAGGAAGGCTCCTTGGGGGTCCAAAAGAGAGGGGGCGCCAGCCCGTAATAAGTGTGGACATATCCCCACAGGCCTCTGCAGTGGGATCCATCTTTGCAAAAAGTTGCGCACGCATCTTGGGGAGGGTCCTAGGACCAGTCAGGTGTGAAAAAAGAAACAAGATAACTGGCCAAAGGTAAACAAAGACCTGGAAGAACTGTCCTACATAAGGAATTTAAATCAACTCTTTACTGCACTCCTCCTCATTAGACAGGATGCACATACTCTTTCTCTCTGGGTGTGTATTTATGCCTAGCTTCTGACTTACTGCACTACTCATTCAGGATGACCACACTCCTCTCCTGGTGTGTATTTCTGCCTTGCTTCTGTCTTAAATAAACTGCTTCTCTGTGTGCTCTCCCACATGATATGCTGTGTCTCTAATAATAAACTTTGTACCTGTTTTTACAGTTTTTGCCTCCTTGAAACATTCTTGCCTTCAATGGGGGTAACAGCCAGGGCCACAGTGCTTCTAACCTCTAGTCCCTGGTGGTCTAGCAGCTAGGATTCCTGGTTTTCATCCAGACTACCCAGGTTCAATTCCTGGCCAGGAAACTAAGATCTGTCTTCAGGACCGCTCACCGCTATCTCTCCGAGATCAATATCTTTGTAGACACAACACCAAAGACACAATCCCTGAAAGAAATAACTGATAAGCTGAAATTCATTAAAATTGAAAACTTTTACTGTGTGAAAGACAATGTCAAGAGAATGAGAAGACAAGCCAGGTCTGGGAGAAAATATTTGCAAAAGACACACCTGATAAAAGGACTGTTATACAACATATAAAAAGAACTCTTAAAATTCAATAAGAAAACAAACAACACCATTAAAAAATAGGCCAAAGACTTGAATACAGATGGCAAACAAATATATATGAAAAGATGATCTATATCACAGTCATCAAGGAAATGCAAATTAAAACAATTACACATCTATTAGAATGGCCAAAATCTGGAACACTGATAATAGTAAATTCTGGCGAGGATAAGGAGCAACAGGAACTCTCATTCATTGCTGGTGAGAATGCAAAATGTTACAGCCATTTTGGAAGACGGTCTGATGTTTTCTTACAAAACATATTCTTACCATATAATCCAGCAATTGTGTTTCTTGGCATTTACCCAAAGAAGTTTGAAAATGTATGTCCACACAAAAACCTGAATATGGATGTTTAAAGCAGTTTTATTCATAATTGCCAAAACTTGGAAGCAACCAAGTATGTGTGGGGATAAATAAACTGTGGTATATCCAGAAAATGGAATATTATTCAATGCTAAAAAGAAATAAGCTATCAAGCCATGAAAACACATGAAGGAGTCTTAAACTCATATTACTAAGTGAAAGAAACCAGTCTGAAAAGGCTACATACTGTATGATTCCAACTATACAACATTCTGGAAAAGGGAAAATAGAGAAAATAAAAAGATCAGTGATGATGGGGAGGGTAGGCAGGGGAGTAATGAATAGGCAGAGCACAGAGGAAATTTATGGCAGTGAAAATAATCTGTATGATATTATAATGATGGATATGTTTATGGATGGATGGAGAAGAGACACTGCCTACCTACTGAAAAGATAGCTGCATTATTCTACCTACTTGTGCAGAAGTTTAACTATATCCATGACTCATCATATAGGAAAACTGAATTTATCTGTTATTTAAAACATAGGAAAAAGGAACTATAGTGCATTATTTTATTTCTTACAGAAGTGCAGAAATTGAAATTTTTTAAAAGTCACTAAACCACTTAAATTTCCAGGTCAAATTTTCCTCTCTCCCCACCCCAAAACATGTTGCATGTAGTTAATTATTGTGTTTTAACATTCTTTTCATGAAAATCACACACATTCCAATGATTCAAATTGACCACAAAAATGTTTACCTGTGGGAGGAAAGGAGTGGGGAGAAGAGAATTGTAGAATTTTGTTCCTTCAGGAAAAAGGTGCGTGGAGGGGAGGAAGGATTTGTTCTGTCATCAACTTTCGGACACTCCCTAAGCTAAAAGACTCAACTAAATATAGTGCATCTCAAAGTTTCCTTCTATGCTTTATCTACTGAGTTACATACCAATAAGACCACTTTAGCAACTGTCTCATGGACCTGCACTACACAGTTCCTAGAACTTGGATGATTTTTTACGCTATGTATCCCAGCTATACTGGTTTTTAGCTCGCAACTTTCTAGTTTTCACAAATTTTAATCCAGCATCCTGAAAAGTACTTCATCTTCACACCGAAGACAGACATAAATCATTTGTGTAAGTAAAACTTCCCTTATTCTAAATATTTTTAAAAGGTAAAGCAGGGCTTCCCTGGTGGCACAGTGGTTAAGAGTCCGCCTGCTGATGCAGGGGACACGGGTTCGTGTCCCAGTCCCGGAGGATCCCACGTGCCGCAGAGCGGCTGGGCCCGTGAGCCATGGCCACTGAGCCTGAGCGTCCAGAGCCTGTGCTCCGCAACGGGGGAGGCCACAACAGTGAGAGGCCTGCGTACCGCAAAAAAATAGGTAAAACACACAATTTTATTTTTAGAAATTTAAGTGGAAATGTCTCTGGGAAATCTATCTGCTGTGGATTTAAGGATTTTATTGTGAATAGTACAGGGCCAAAATCCTATATTGTGGGTGCATAAGTAGACGCTCAACAATGCCCATAAGCCAGAAAGAGGGTGGGAGGAGAAAGGCAAAGAGGCAAATAAATAGTGTTTATATAAATTACAGATCCAAGATTCCAGCACAAAGATTCAAAAAAATTTTACCAGATTCCTGCAACAGTGTGAAAAAAGAACATCAAATAGGTTTAAATGCACAAGAATAACTGCCAGGATGCAACTGTCTCCAAACTTTTAAAATACAATATAAACTACCCACCCCCAACAAGGGGAAATCTTACATAGAATTCTGTACAGAATAAATAACTGAAGACATTGGATGAGGATGATAAGAAAGAGCCCAGCGTGCTGAACCTCCCCAACCCTACTTTAAACTGCACAGCAGCCCTGGGGCTTGACAGAACATAGCTAGAAAACCACTGTTCAACTGGACGCTCCGGATGAAAAACAATACACAACTGCAAAGCACTAGCATTGTCTTTTTAACACTGTTAACAGCTATTTAACATTATTCAGTTCAGATCTGTGACCTTAAAGTAAACTGGTATTGAAGTTATAGTTTAACTAAGCTATAGTTTAACCAGCTGGCCAAGATTTGATACATAAAAACTAAACAATTAGTTTTGTGGCATCAAGAACATAGCTTTCGTTTTTTTT